GCCTGCGATGTCAGACCAGGTGGGTGGCGGCGGCGCTCGGTGCCCGGCCGCCGGGGGTGGCACTGCCGGGTGCGGGGCAGCCCTGGGGCGAGGCGGGAGGCTGCTGCTGGGCCGCCAGCACGGGCCGGGGGCGCCGTATCGCTCTGAGCCGAGGCCAAGGGCAGCATCTCTCCCTCAGGACTGTCGGCTCCAGACCGGGACCTTGAGAGCCGGGCACCGCTGGTGCTGCTCAAAGGCCCTTGCCTGCAGCTGGGCATCCCCACTCAGCTGCCACCTTCGAAAACTGAGGCTCAGATTTGTGGCACTCGTCTTGGCCCCCTTGTGGGAATCGCTACTTGTTTTCCTCTCTCTCTCTGCTCAGATGAGGGCTGCAGCCTGGGGAGGGGAAGAGAAACAATGGGTTGTTTTTTTTACCCTGCTGAAAAGGCTTGCACTGTGGTCTGGTGACTTTGCCATCTGCTGTTTCTACCGTCTCAATTTGCAGCAAGTTCAAACAAAACTTCCATGAGACAAAATTACTGCCTGTCTCCAAAAGGAATGAGTTGACCTGCGATGGGGCAGGGTTAGTGTTGTCAGCTAGAATCTCACTGACACGCTAAGTTACGAGAAAGAGCACCTCTTTCCAGAGTCACTTACAGCAATCTTACTTTCACCAGGCCCGGGGAAAGCCAGCATCTTCTGGAGTGGCAAGTGCCAAATTAATGGCACTCAGCCAGTGCTGTATGATGAATGGCTTAGCACAGGGGTGGCCAACCTCCAGCATGGCAGAGGCATGGGCAGCCAGTAGGGGTGGCATGGAGCAGGTCTGGGAGGGGACTGGCAGCATGGTGGCAGGTAGGGCATGGAGCAGAAAGCAAAGCAATGCATCAAGAAGGGGAAGGGGATTGCAGTGGCACTCCGGGAGGGCTAATTTGTGCCACTCCTGCTGAAAAGGTTGGCCCACACTGGTTTAGCACAGCTGGTGAAATATATTATATCTAGTTGAAACTTTGGGGAGTCTGGGTCTGCAGGAGGCAATTTTATAGTCTGGCTAGGATGTCTGGGTGCATGTCTACACTGTAGTAAAAGTGGTGTTGGATCTTTAATGGACACAAAGCAGTTGGGACCCCGGTTTAATGTCTCATCTGAAAGGGATAAAGTATATGAAGGAGTGTGATTTATTTTATGATGTGTTTTTGGTTAAGGCTGATGGGAAGTAGGAAAGGGAGCATTTGAACTTTTCTGCTGTTCCTGTGGAAAATCAAAGAGATGATGTCTTTGGAATAGTAAATGCCTGGAGAGATGATCTGAACAATTTTGGCACTTTTACTGGACATGTTAAGATAAAGCAGTCTGAGAATGCCCTTATTCATAGTTGTAGTTCAAAGGCAAAAACTAAAAGTCTTGACACCAGCTGTTCAGAAGGGGCAGACCTACTGTGAAGGGAGAAGGGTAGTTCAACAAAAGTATTTAACCTTTTATAAAGATACAACAGCTTGAGAGACTCCTATTGGCAAATAAGATCTCTTTGGATTCATTTAAATTTTGTTTGTTTTAAATACAGGTTCCTTATCCAGGCAAGACCTTAACTCTACTTTCTGGTGCTCTAAAATTGTGATTCACCAGTAGCATGCAGCATATTCTGATTTGAAGGCATATTTAGGTTTTCTGCAGCTAAATCTAGTGGCGCACTGATAGGTCATCCAAGTGAGTTGCTGGAGTTCACAGAGAAAAGTTATGAAAACTTATTGCACATTTGCATTCCACAGTAGCGTTGGTTGTGGCTGGAGTACATGGGCCATCACTGTGAGGAAAGGAGAGGTCACAAAAGGTCAAACTAAATAATTGCCTAGGATAAAGGCAAAGAGCCCAATTCTTCACTCATGTAGATGTAAATTAGGGTCAAGATCATTGACATAATTTGAATTGTACCAACGCAAAATCCAAGCAAGGCAAATAAGCCAAAAGGTTTATACCTGGATCTTGTTTGAACCTGTTGAGTGTTTAGACAACAAAACTCATGTGGGTCATGGAAAATAGCACAACAGCCACTGTTACAACATTTTTATAAGTTGTAGGGATCTGCTTCAGAAAATCAGTTAATCATGAGTAGTTCTGCTACATTCAGTGAGACTTAAAATGGCAGTTATTGTTAGGTCACTCTGATGTCAATGGGATTTAAGCTAGTGAATAAGTTCAAACAAACTTAACTGCGTTGCAGAATCAAGGTTTTAGCCAATATGCACTCTGCTTTTTCTTCCTTTTTTGTCACAAATAGCCTAGTCATGGCTCAGGACCCCATTACATTGGATACTATGCTGAGAGAGGTAAAAAAGGTGGCTCCTGCTCCCCAAATCTAGATGTAAAAAGACACACACGTACACAAAAAAGAGACAGATGGATGTGGAGACTTGAAAACAATGAGGTGATACTGGCCAGCATGATAGGCAGTGGTCTCAGCAAACCAGCTGTTTACATGTTGACATGTTCAATAGGAGTATATTGCATGGACTATAGGAAAGCACTCTGAGATTTGAATAATTGTTGAAAATAAAATGAATAATACACATGGGAGTGAAAATGCGAGAAAGTGCATGTTGAGAAGTTGAAAGTGAGGAAGTCCAGTAACCAACAACAAAATCTAGCCATAATTTATCAGGGTGCCATACTTCTGTGCAATGTTAACAAATTTCCATGCTGTACTTGATCATGGGGATGGCATGGGGGCTATGGACAGACATTCAAAAAGGCCGAGCCTGAATTGATTCAAGCTTTGCAGGTTAGTCTAACCTGGCTAGGCTAAATCAGTTTGTAACTGCACTGACATCTTAGACATGCAGGCACATACCTGCAGTGGCTTAGGCTAGAAGCTGGGGAGTGAGCAGCCTTCCCTTCCTGTCTACAATGCTGAGCTGAGGGGGATGTGGCCAGATCCCACAAGATGCTCTTATTAGGGAGGGGCTCCCCCACTCTTGACCAGCCCAGCAGGGAATTGATAACACGGTGTTTGTCACCCCTATGTCAGTGTTTATCACCTCATTAAGAAAACAACAGAGGGACATTACCAGCTACCCATCTGCCACAGTGTGGACCATAGCCAGCATGTTGTCTGCTACCTAATGCACAGATACCTCTCACCAAGGCAGAGGGGAAGGGGGGAATTTCTGCTTAGCAGGTAGTGGTGAGGGGGACTGAGGTGTTGCCCCAGGATTCCTTTTACCAGAGACCGCCAAGGATTGACACAGCTCCTTGTCTGATTTGGTATCAAGTGAACTTTATTAGTAACCCCTAGGCTTATGTTGCTGGTAGGTGTTGTAAGGCTTTGGGGACCTCTTTGTTGGTGCCTTGCCCCCGCAGCGAAGTCAGAGTGAAACCCTATTCTGGTGTCACCTAGATGATCTGGGCACTGCCCCTTGTCTCGCCTGCCATGTCTTTGGTGTTATTTGTTGGGGAGGCAGTTCCCTGTCAGAGGCCCAGAGGGGTCTCAACCCTGGGGGTGTCTTTGTGGGGCTTCAAACCTCCCCTTTACCCCACCCTTACCACGCCTTCAGCCTGGGTTGATCTGCTCCTCACAGATCTTCCCCACCCCACCCGTCTTGCAAGGGCTGGGTCGTCTTGGCCATGAACCTTCAGGGGTTCACCCCCGGTCTTCCGGCTGGTTGTCCCCTCTTCAAGAAAATAATCTTGCCCCTGCTGGGGTCATCTGTAACTCAACTGAAAAGGCCGGTGCCTGCCAGTGGAGCTCCCTAGATTGTCTCTCTCTCTCTCTCTAGGGGCAACTTTCTATTCCCCCAGGGCACTTGTTCGTCCCCTCCCCTCTAACAGGTGGAGGTACTGGGGGAGACCTTGTGCCCCATCCCTACTAGTTCTTCTGGTGTCCCTGCCCTGGAGCCCAGTTGATCTGAGGTCCTGTCATCCTGGTCCTTCTTGCTAGTGTCACTCCTCTCCCCTTGTAGGGGGCTCGTGGTTCCCTGTGCTCTGCCCCCTCTGGGGCCATCCAAGGATGGTTGCAGGCTTGAGGGTCTGCCCTCAGCCATGCTTCTGGAGCTTCTGGTTGGAGCCTTGCTGCTCCCTAGCGGCATCCCGCCTGATTGCTGCCTCTTAATGGGGCTCCTTGGCTCCTGCCGACCCCCGAGCCTGGCTTCTGCCTCACTGTTCGGGGTCTCCAGGTAGATGGCTGACTCCTTCTCTGGGAAGCTGGGGCTAGAGCTGGAGCCTCCCAGCTCTGGAGTTGGCGTCTCCCAGCTGGTGATCCGCTCCTCTCTCCCTGGCTCGCCCCCAGCTGTTTCCCCAGACACCTTTTGAGCAGCCCATGCTGCTCGGAAGCCACACCTCCAGCTCTTTCCAGTGCGCGGGCTCAGGGAGCTGCGAAACTGCCGAGCCTGTGCCTGTGTCTGTGTCCAAGCTCCAGTCTTCTCCCAGCTGCTGCCCATCTCTGCTTCTGCGGTGAGTGCCATGGCATGCTGATTAGGGGTCTGGGCCATACTGGGGGGGACACCTGTCTTCCCTCTCTCAGCTTATTACAAGATAATTATCCTTGCTATACAACCTGGCAAACGGTTCCTTAGACGTTACAGCAGTGACTTTCGGTGGTACTGGCCTCAGATCCTCTGGTGGGTGTGTGGGATGTTAGTTTCTGGATTCCTTGTTACTCAAAGCAAGAATTCCAAGGCTGCTCCTGTCTCCCCGGGGTGGCAACACAAGCACAGACTGTCTCTTTGTTTGTCCACTACTTTTGTAACTTTCTTATCTCAAACTGTCCAATCCTCAAGTTTCTTACCTCATCTTTTTAAATAAGGAACTCCAATCCTATTCTGTTTTTGGTTTTCTTTCCTTTTAGGGAAACTACTGTACCTGGTTAGCCCACCATACCAATCACAGCACTCACTTTGCCCAGTGCCTTATAATGCACTTTGTACAATTTAATTGCTTAGTTCTGGGAAGGCCTAAAGTTATGCTAATAGCCTAAGCATAACTCAGTTTGCCTGCTACGGGGGGAGCAGCCTGCAGTCTCTACCAAGCTCCAGCCAGGGAGCAGAGGAAAGGGGCCAGCCCTGCTGTGGAGCACAGAGCCCCGCCCAACCCAGAGAGCATGCTGGGATGCTGGAGGAGTTTGGTTTAAGTTAAACCAGGAAGCGGTCTGGGACAGCCATTGCATAAATCAGTTTGACCCAGATCAGTTAAATCTGATACTACATTCAAACAGGTTTATGTGAAACTGGTTTCAGCCAGTTTCAAACTGGTTTATGTGCACTGAACATCTGTTCTGTTACAAGTTTAAACCAGTTTCTGATCACTTAAACTGGTTTATGTGTAATGTTTGTCCCTAGCCTGGAAGTGCACTGAATTCCTCCTTCATTCCCAGTTGTGATTCACTTATGTTCTGAAGCATTGTGCTTGATTATTTTACTTTAGCATACGTAACTACAAAGAGGTCTCATCCATGACATTGACTAGCCTATTTTTAATGAATCTGGAAAGGCACATATTCATCAATATGCTCCTGTGATCATGACTCAAATTCACTGGTCTTACATATACAGTTACTTGTGTGTGAACGTGTTTTGGATTAGGTATGCGACTGCTGAAACAATGAGTTGATAGAAAGTCTTTTTTTAAACAAAAATATAGAATATGATAGTTGATTATTAAATTTTACTATTGGATATCAAAAGCTAATAATACAGAACTTCTTATGTTAGAAATTCTTTATTGTTGATGTCAGTATTTCATTTCTAGATGTTAACTGATTAGTTTTTAAACAATCACGTGATTATGAAATGAAACATGAAGAGATTTTAATTTTTATTTATGCTGACAAAGTTAAAGAGCCTGCCCACTCACATGTTTATGGGCATAAACATATGTTTAAAGAATCTGGGATAAGATTTATGGAGGGATACAGAAAGGGGAGTTTTGGCTCAAACTTTTCCTCAGCAGAACCGCATTTATGATCATCACACTTGGGGTCAGGAAGGAATTTTACCCCACAGTCAGACAGGTACAGACTGTTGGGGTTTTTGCCTTCTTCTGTAGCAGGGGGTGTGGCCCTCTTCCTTGGATCTCTGAAGTATATTTTGACACTAGCAGCAGCTTTACCCATGGCAGGTTAGGGTGCTGTGCCTTGTAGTTGTGTGGTAGGGTTGATCGTGGAGTTTGAATAGTAGGTTAGGATTTGTATGGAATGGCTTGGATGGAGATAATCTTGCCTCTGGTAGGGAGCTGGATTCTAGATGACCTCCAGAGGCTCTTTCTAGCCCTACTTTTCTATGATTCTATTTGTAACAAAATACAGGAGAATGTTATTTCTTGCATGTTAGATCTTGAAAGTATAGGGGATATATATTTTAAACAGGTGTAAAAGAAGGTCTGATGAAATTTTAAATGCCTCTCAATAGGTAACTAATTAAGTTGAAAAATTGTTATTATTATTATTATTTTGCCAGATACAGTAACAGACTGTTTGCATTTCAGGGGAAAATGAAGTCCCATCTGAAGATGCACTAATATTGCAACTGCAGCTTGTAAAAGGGCAAGAGAAATTTGTTGAAATGCTAAAAAACCAGCAGAAGGTAATTGTGGACTTGCAGCAAAAACTTATTGAACAACAGAACACACTGGTTAGCCAGCAACGAGAAATTCTTGAACAGCAAAGAAAAATGTATGAGCAAATGGATCTGATAAAAGTCCAGTATGGCATGCTTTTCAACACAGTGAAACAAATGTCATTCCAGAGTTTGCAGGAAGATATTCAAAATTATTTTGAAGCTCATCTTCAAGGACTTCAGAACCAAGTCAGAAATCATCTCCAGAAATCATACTCTGTGCATAAAGTAGAAGTTGATGCAAAAGTGATTGATGTTGGGGAATCTTTGCTGGACTGTGGCTTTTGTGAAAGTGATGAATTTTGCAATTTCCAAAAGACACCATCACAATGTGAAAAATGCACCTTGTGCCCTGCTGGCTTTTTCCAAATGTCTGCATGTTCTGCAAACACTGATAGGATTTGTCAGGTGAAGTATTAGAATACTGTATATTTTAATAACATTTTATCAAGCATTTTGCCAAGCATATGGAGCATAACATTGTGGAAATACCATGTGGAGACTGCAGCTAATAAGAGACAGGAGAGAGATCCAATTCAGAGTATATGTTTTATGTCTCATGTCTGGGTTATAATTCTTAGGTTCACTTGTGTTAATGCCAAAATATGTGCTTTAATATTTACTTTGTAATGATTCTTTATGCAGCAGAAAATATCAAAGCAACACACCAGTTCAGGTTCTGCTTTTTGTTCTAGAGTGTAATTACTGAAGTTTACGTATTTAAATGGGACCATCCAAA